TGCCACTCAAGCCAAAAACATAAGTCAAGTCAAGAATGGCTCTAATATTCATCAGAGTAACAAAACCATATTTGGGCTACCCATTTAGGACAAGAGCAGTGGGCATCTGCTACTTTGGTCCACCCAGCACCCATTCCATCCATTCATGCATTCATTCATTCATTCATTCATTCAGAGACAGAGTCTCGCTGTGTTTCTCAGGCTAGAGTGAGTGCTGTGGTATCAGCCTAGCTCACAGCAATCTCAAACTCCTGGGCTCAAGCAATCCTCCTGCCCCAGCCTCCCGAGTAGCTGGGACTACAGGCATGCGCCACTGTGCCCGGCTAATTTTTCCTATATATATTAGTTGGCCAATTAATTTCTTTCTATTTTTAGTCGAGACGGGGTCTCACTCTTGCTCAGGCTGGTCTCAAACTCCTGACCTTGAGCAATCCTCCCACCTCGGCCTTCCAGAGTGCTAGCATTACAGGCGTGAGCCACCGCGCCCGGCCTCCCCCTACCTCTTATAACAGCACCTGAAGTTCCTTTCATAAACCACTTCTTAAACTAAGTGGTGGAGCTTGATGTCTCAACTCTACCTCCTATGCCTCAAGCCTGGACAATCATGGCTTCCTTTTGACCATGGAGATGTAATCAGGGATAGGTCCATGAGCTGATCAAAGTTCATCTTAGAACTTTTGCCTGAGCTACCAGAAAAGGGGAACTTACTCTCTTCTAGCTATTTTACCAGGGTGAGAAGAGACATTACCTGACAATGGAGCCAACACAGAAGAAGAGCCAAGAGACAGGCAAAGAGCCCCGGAGATGCTGGCCCAGGTCCTGGATCCAGCTGTGTCTGGGGCCATATTTACTCTTGAACTTCCCAACTAGGAGAGCTGTAAATGTCCCCTTCCCCACTTTTTTCTGCTTAAGCCAGTTTTAATTGTCTTTTTCTTCTACTTGCTACTGTAAGATTTTTGTCTTATACGCAAAAATGAAATAAGCTCATATGCAACTCTTTTGCGTAGCTCTTCTCTTTCCTTCTTTCCTATCCTCACACCTAACATTAAAAGCTAAAGGTCATGAGAAAGCTAAGTGAACAAGAGAAGCATGTTCTCTGGATTCATCCACAAACTGCTGCCTTATCTATCAATGCAGGGCTTATCTTTTATGTCATTCTCTCACCCTATTGCCTCTACAGACACTAATCACAGACGAAATAGCATTCAGAGTTTCCTCCAGCCCTGAGATTTATGATCCCATTAAGCCTCAGCTGCCTCACCTGTAAAGTGGGAGATAATCTCTCTCACAGGATTCTTGAGAGGATGAACACAGCAAAAGATTATATACAAAAGTTTCTTTCAAAAGTGTCTGACACAGAGATTAAAACAGATCTAAAAATGCTCTCAATGTAGAATGAGATATCGGACAACTTGGCCAGGCACAGTGTCTCACATCTGTAATCCCAGCACTCTCGGAGGCTGGTGGGAGAGGATTGCTTGAGGCCAGGAGTTCAAGACCAGCCTGGGCAACATAAAGAGGCCCCCATCTGTACAAAAAAGTTAAAAATTAGCCAGATGTGGTGATGCACACGTAGCAACTCAGGAGGCTGAGGTGGGAGGATCACTGGAGCCCAGCCTAGGCAACAGAGCAAATCTCTGTCTTTAATTAAAAAAAAAAAAAGAAAGAAAGACAACTAGACACTACAGAAATACAAGTAACACCACATTAAAAAGAATATAGGGAGGCTGGGCACGGTGGCTCACGCCTGTAATCCTAGCACTCTGGGAGGCCGAGGTGGGCGGATTGCTCGAGGTCAGGAGTTCGAAACCAGCCTGAGCAAGAACGAGACCCCGTCTCTACTATAAAGAAATTAATTGGCCAACTAATAATATATATAGAAAAAAAAAAGAATATAGGAGAATATAGGGGCCCGGTACCATGATGCACACCTATAATCATAGCTACTTGGGAGGCTAAGGTGGGGAGATCAGTTGAACCCAGAAGTTCGAGACCAGCCTGGGCAACAAAATGAGACCCTTTCTCAAGAAAGAGAAAACAAGTTGCCATCAGACAACAAGAAAAAATTATGTAGCAATTTAGAGGACAGAAAAACTACTTTCTTATGGAAGACAGGTTTCATGAAAGAGATGGCATTCAATTGTGCCTTGATTCCCAGGTAAGGATTACCTGATCAGAAATATCCTCAGACAGAAATCAACACTGACTTTACCTATAACTATAGACATGCCACGTCCAATTTTAGCATCCCATGATCCTAAATGCTTTTTCAAACAACTCTTCTAAAAGATACATGGAGATTAAAACATTTTGCTTCCTTGTTACAAAATAATAAGCTATGTAGAAAACTGTTAAGATAACTTTCTCAATGAGAATTACATTTTTTAACCAGAGGGAATTAAAGTCAAATCTTAAAATATCTATGTTGTTTCCCATAGTTCACTATCACCTCAAACTCCTAGGCTCAAGTGGTCCTTCCACCTCAGCCTCCTGAGTAGCTAGAACTATACAGGAGCACACCACCATGCCCGGCTAAATGTTTTTATTTTTTATAGAGATGGGGGTCTCCTATGTTGCCCAGGGTAGTCTCAAACTCCTGAACTCGAGTGATACTCCTGCCTCACTCTCCCAAAGTGCTGAGAGTACAGGTGTGAACCATAGTGCCTGGCCCTCAGATAATTCTTATTGCCCTAACTTCTCAGTGAAACTGGAAATTCCTTAAGAGTAAATAAAGCCGAGTGCTATTTGCTTCTTTGTGTCCCTCACCTTGCCAAGTGCTCATTATATGAATTAAAATATTAAAAAAACCTCACACCTAAAGTGTTACATTAAAAGGTATGAAAATGTCACTCCCAGAAAAACTTAAATTATACTTCCCTGAACACACCACGCACTTCCACAACATGCCACGTGCAGATGCTACCCTTCTTGGAATGCCCTTCAACCTGACCTTCCATCCTCAGGTCCTAAAAAGGTCTTCTCCAAGGCCTAGTTCAAATGTGACCTTTTCTTTGAGGCACTACCTGATTTGTCCAGAAAGAATGAATCCTTTTTTCCTCTCCAAGTACTCTGTACATACTCCTCCTATAGTATTTTCCTTATAGAAAAATGATACCTACATATGAGAGTGTATGTGAGAGACAGAGAGAAAGAGAGAGAACACCTACCAGAGTGTAAACGCTACCAGGGTAGCAAATAGGTCTTTTTCTTTTCTGTACATTCAGCACACGGGACAAAGTCATATGCAATGTGTGCCTAATCAACAGAAAACAAAAAGAGGCAGAACTATCCCTATGACCATTTACCTCTCTTGCAATATTGGACTTCCTGAATTTAGAATAAGTGGCTAAGTGTCAGACCAAAGTCATCTGCACATGAACAAAAACTTCTGAAACCAAGGAAAACAGAGATTAAGAATTGCTTCCTACGAAGTCATTTGTCTTGATAACAAAGTTACTTCAGGTTCAATCATCAGGTTAATAGTCCTTGAAGGCTTGTAGCTTGTCTTCTCACCAACCACTAATTGTTTAATAGATTGAGATGCCCCTAAACATTATAGAAAGTGACTATAAGAATTGGCCAAAGATGATCACTACTGCATTCACAAAACCACTTTATAGGGATGAAAAATATGTATGTTGTAAATGTAATTCAAAAGATGCGGCCACTAGTATACCATTTTAGAACCTACAGGAAGATGGAAATGGGGAATGAGGAATGTTCAGTACTGGCTAGAAGGTTCTAGGCAAAATTTTGAGACTGACCAATGTGTATAAGCACATGAGACAGCTGCCCTATTAGTTACAAAATAGATATACAGAAACAGGGGCTTTCTTCTTAGAAAGAGGGAGAGACTGATTATCAATCATCATCAAGTTAGAGAGGAATTAAAATCAAGTATGGTCAATGTACACCAAAAAAGTAATCACGACACCTCACCACATAAAAGATAAACACTAATAATTCAGGGCATCCTCTGAGGAGTAACAGGAAAAAATGGAAAGGCCAAAATTATGCAGAATGGAAAAACGAGAAGCCTGGTTACCAAGCTCCTACACTCTATTCCTGAGAGACTAAGTCATGGTCCTGACCCTACCACCCTCACAGCACACAAGCATCCGTAATAACTGTTATGTCAGAGTAAACACACACCACTATGGCAGCATATGGAAATACTGAGGGGAGAGAAAAGGAGGTCAGGGAGACCTAACCTATGGATGTAACCTCTCACCTAAGTCTTGAATTTGGTCAGAATTAACCCAGAGGAAAGAAATGTGGGATGGAAAAAAGGATTGGGTTGTGCAAGGTATACAAGAAAGAGCACTAGTTTATGAGTCAGAAAACCTGGTTTCTAGTCCCAAAAGTTGTTTCCACAAATACACCAATATGCAAAGTACCTGGCAGATGGAACGAAGTAACAGTTGTTATCACTGTTATTACTCATACATCCTAGCACCTAACACATCCAGGCACTACGTAAAACATATATAAATAACAGTAATAAACCAACTACAGTTGGTTTTCTCCTTCCTATGTGCTAAACTGCTAAGAATAGCAGGATAAGTGATACAAGGCCTTGCCCTCAAGAAGCAGAACCTCTTGGAAGAGACTGCAGGTAAATACACAACCATTTTGGAGACACTGAGACCCAGGGTCCTGATTTCTTCAGTTAGTATTTGAGGAACTGAGAATGTAAACCTATTCTGTCTGACTCAGAATTCTGACATCTTCATCAAGAGGAGAGTAGGTAAAGGGAGGAAAGTAGTAGGGAGTAAGAGATAAATAAGGAACAACAATCCTCCATTACGCGGAGCCCCAAGATCCAGCCCTCCTTCCGGTGGTGGACGGAGGAGGAACGCCTCAAATAGGATCAGCAGGTGCGCGACTTGGGTGTGGTTACCACCTTTACCTGCCTTCGTGCCAGTCCCTTGCCTTGCCCATCCCAACCCCGTCCAGGAACCCTGCAGCCCCCATCCGCCTCGGAGGAATCCAAGGAGCACCTTGGTGGTCGTGAGCGCCCGCTCTCCGGGGGCTGGGCCCGGGGCGTTCGCCTCCCGTGAGTACCGGGGCGCGGCCGCCGAACTGCCAGGGGCCCCGGGCCGTTGGGGCGTGCCGCAGCCGCAAGAGCCCGCGAGGGACGCCGCGCCTGCACCGCTCGCGGCCTCCTCGCCGCCCGCTGCCCCGCACAACAGCGCGAGCAGCGGCAGCCAGAGAACGCCTGTGAGCCCAGGGAAGCGTCCACTAGCCGGCCCTAGCGCGGGCGCAGCCATGTTGTCCCGTGGGTCACGTGACCCGATGGGTCACGTGCCCTCGCCCTCCTTAAAGGGGCCGAGTCTTGGGCTGACTTAAAAAATGGCCAGGAGAGTTACTCTCTCTGCACCTTTCTCCAGGTACTTCCCCTTTGGAGCGCTCCTGCTCGGTTCTCCTGGCGTCACAACGCAGCAAAACTCTACACAACTCAAGGCTTTCCACAGACTGTGCGCTCCTTTGTGATTTCTTGGTTGAAAAATGACAATCAAATTGATTGGGTATTTGCTAAGTGCCAGAGTACTTTTAAAAATCTCATTTACTGGGGGATGGACGCGCTTGAAGCTCTGACTTGGGTGGGGCAAAGGCGATATATGTGATCTAAACATTTGTACCCCAGTAATATGCTGAATTAAAAAGAAATGTTTTAATTTTTTAAAAATGTCATTTAATCCTCACACGGACCCTGTAATAGTGGGTTCACAGAGCAATTAAGTGGCTTGCCCAAGGTCACATAGAAAATAAGTGTCATAAGGGAGAATCTAACTTTAAACGCTGAGTTTTAACCATTATTCTGCACTGCAGGCAACTATAATAAATAAGTTTCCCCTAACAGGAAATAAACAGGAAGATAAACACGTTGAAGGACACTTCACCAAGGGCTACAGTAAGGAAATCATCACTCTGGGGATATGTACAACAGTGCTTCTCAAAGTGTTGTCCCAAGCCAGCACCATCAGCATCACGTGGAAACTTGTTAGAAATACAATACAGTAGTGAATCGGGCTGGGCTCGGTGGCTCACGCCTGTAATCCTAGCTCTCTGGGAGGCCAAGGCAGGCGGATTTCTCAAGGTCAGGAGTTCAAAACCAGCCAGAGCAAGAGCAAGACCCCATCTCTACTAAAAATAGAAAGAAATTAATTGGCCAGCTAATATATATATACAGAAAAAATTAGCCGGGCATGGTGGCGTATGCTTGTAGTCCCAGCTAATCGGGAGGCTGAGGCAGGAGGATTGCTTAAACCCAGGAGTGTGAAGTTGCTGTGAGCTAGGCTGATGCCAGGATACTCACTCTAGCTTGGACAACAAAAGTGAGACTCTGTCTCAAAAAAAAAAAAAAAAAGAAATGCAATACAGTAGTGAATCAAAACTCTCTGTGGGCAGGACCCAGAAAATCTGTGTTCTAACAAGCTCCCCAGATTGATTCGAATGCACACTAAAGTTTAAGAATCACACTATTCTATATACAGTTCTGTGAGCAAACAGAATGCAGAACAAAAACAAAACGATGAAGGGGGACTTATAAAGATGGCATAAAGAACCAGCTGCAATATGAATCTTATCTAAATACTAATTCAAACCTACTGATTTCAAAATTTTTTAGATAATCAGGGAAATTTGACCACTTAACCAAGTTATGACATTTGATAAAATTACAGAATTACTGTAAATTTTGTTTTTAGGTTTTTAGAAGTGATAATAGTATTTGTGGCTATGTTTTTTTTTAAAGAAACCCTTTCTTTGAGGTGTTTATATTGAAATATATATGCATAAAATATGGATATGCCAAGATTTGCTGCTTATAAAATGGGTGATGGGGGCTGGCTAAAGATAAAGTATGATTGGCCAGGAGTTGAAATTATTGTAGCCGTTTGATGGGCAATCTGAATGTTTATTGTACTGTTCTCTCTACTTTAGCATATGTTTGGATTTTTTAATATAAAGAAAAGTCCTTTCCTCCTTGTTGAATATTTTACAGTTTGCCAAGAGCTTTCATGCATTTTCTCACTTGAGATTACAACCAGTTGGCAAGAAATCTATTATTACTATACCCATTTCAAAACAGAGAAGGCTAAAAGATCAATGCCTTAACTAAGGTTTTATGTATTAGCTGTGCATATTCCAGGATCCAGGTCAAAGGCAATCTTTGTTCGTGTTTTTCAAAAGGTCATTCTCCACACATGCTGTGTTTAGCTGCCCTTCGGAGACCTGAACTCCTTTGATTCGTGGTCCTGCTATACCATTAGGCTATAAGCTCCATAAATATAAGGATCTTGCCTATGTGTTTGTCACAGTGTTAGCAAAATCAGGCAAAGACCTGGCACATAATAAGCACTCAATGTGAACATGTATTGAATGAATGGATAAATAGATGACTTGAATGAATGAATGAATAATCATTAGCGCTTACTCTTAAAGGAAAGCAAATTGTTGAGAAAATAATACAGATTTTAGACTCAGAAAGAGCTGTGGTTAAAGCTCTTACAAAAGGTATGACCTAGGCAAATTATTTCACCTTTCTGAGCTTCTATTCCTTCATGTGTGAAATGGAGATAATAATAATGCCTCCTTTCAGAGATTTTATGGGGACTCAATAAGGCAAAGTTTGTAAAAGGCTTAGCCTGGAGCCTGACATTTAACATATCTCAAAAAACGTATGCTATTATTAGCAGTCATTATCAAAGAGGGAACTTGGTTGGCTCTCCAGGAAGATCATTCTCTCTAAACCCATTATATATTGATAATTTCTTTTTGGTTACTAATTAATGAAAAAGTAGAAAATATTGATGAGAAATCCCTAGGTGAGGAGGCCTATGCTAGAAATTAGAGTTAAAAGTCCAACTCAGCAATCAAATCTGTACAAACTAACCTCTCCCAATTGAGCTCCTTCTGCATTTTGTGGTCTTCCTTGCCCGCTCTATCTAACGAAGCTGGACGAAAGACCCTCGTCCTGAAAATGACTTGTGTGCTCACTGAACAGTAAAGAGGCCAGCACGGCCACAGTGGAGTGAGCACAGGGGTAGCAAAAGGGAGGGAGATCTGAAAAGTAACAGAGGCCAGATCACGTAGGATCTGGTAAACTTTTGCTCTAAGTGAAGGTTGGTGCCATTGCACAGTTTTGAGAAGATACCTGGCACTCTTCCTGCTGAGCAGGACCAATTTCCCTGCCAGGTTAAGAGGCTCCTCTTCTTGCCTGCTGGTCCCTGACCACAGAGAAACAAAAATTTCCTGATGGCAGCCATGGCTTATAGTTCAAGGGGACCCTTGCTGTGTCCACAGAAAGAGAGCACCTCTTTGAGGACCGGGGCCTCCAACTCTGCAGAACCCAGAGCTACAGGAATAGGAGAGCAATGTCCCCAGTGGGTTAGAAGGAGTGACAGTAAGTGGGGTCATTACTATTTCCACCTCTTGGTTCTCAAACCCATGTATTCTTCCTACTTGGGGACACAGGGCCATATAGACACTTCTGATTGAATACATACCATGTTTCCCCAAAAATAAAACCTACCCATAAAATAAGCCCTAGCAGGATTTCTAAGCATTTGCACAATAGAAGACCTACCCTGAAAATAAGACCTAGCAACGGGCGTGGCTATGCAGCGCATCTGCACAACCCATGCGTGTCGTCGCGGAGTGGTTAAGAAGACGAGCAGCCCTTCTCATCTGCCCCATTACAGCTCTATTGCTCGACGTGAGAGATCGGGGCCAGTGGTTCTAAAGGAAATAGAGTCACAAGAAAGAAATTCAGGATGGCATTCGGGGTTTGGAGAGTTAAGATGATGTTCCAGAAGAAGACGACTTAACTATATTTGAATAAATGTAGATGGTTGTACCGTACTTAAAAAAAAATAACACATCCCCTGAAAATAAGCCCTAGGGTGTCTTCCTGAGGAAAAATAAATATAAGACCCTGTCTTATTTTTGGGGAAACACGGTATACTGTATCCTTCTAGGAGGCCCCAGCCTTGCAGAAGATCACGTCCAAGCGCTGTGCCTTTGGTAAGCCATTCTTACCCTTTATGAGGCTAGATGCATGTGGTTGATATTACATGAGATAAAACTGTTGGATTCCATGACTGTGACCTACCCTTGCATCTCCTTCGTGATGAAGTGGGTGTTCTGGTCAGATGCTATATTGTGTGGCAGTATATGCCTGTGTATAAAGTATTCTGCAAGTGCCATTCAGACAGTGATGCTGGCTGAGGGTCTTGGAGCAGGAATGGCACAGGTCAAACTTTTATCCCCTCCTCGGTTGACGGACATTTGGCTCTATCTGGCTATTACAAATAATATCAACATGAACATGCATGTGCAGGCTTCTGTTTAAACCTATGTTTTCATTTCTCTTGGATATTTACTACAAGAGGAGTGGGATTGCCGAGTCATTTGGTAGCTCTATGTTTAACCCTTTGAGGAAGTGCCAGACTGTTTTCCAAAGTGGCTGCACCATTTTACATTCCCACCAGCCACGTAGGAGGGGTCCAATTTCTCTATGATGTAGTTAATTCTTGCATCTCCTCTACAGTAAAATCTCTTTCTCCTTTATCAGGCCCAGCCAGGTTACACTGAGATTCAACCCTGGTTATAACCTGGCAGCCACAGGGCAATATGGAGGTCGCTGCTGTGGGGGTTGGGAGGGTTGCTTTTTTGAGCAAAAACCCTGTGCAGTATGCAGTATCTTCCCACGTGGGGGGATTGCTCATTCTTAATGGGGACGCCACCTCTGCAGGCTCCCTTTGGGCGCCCAAGGGCGTCTGCAGAACCACATGTCTCAAGGGCATCCTCCTAGATGTCCCTGTCCCACGTTTCAGGTCCCAGGTTTTTCCAGCCAGATCCCTGACTTTAGCATAGGAGACCTTATATTTACCTGGGCTGAGCATCCAAACGGCTCTGGAGCTCTGGGTTCTAACAATTAGATTGTCAGCCTGCTGTTCTGCTGGGTCTGCTCTTGCACCGCAAAAGAAGACGACCATGTTGCAAGCTGCCAAAGAGGCCCTCTGGCTCTCACGCTTGGGTTTTAGCTGTTTGTTAACTGCTCTCAGCTTCTCATTAGCTTTCTGTAGGGAAGGTTAATGCAACTTGGTAATAAACAGCCAATTTCTTTTTCTTTTCTTTTCTTTTTTTTTTTTTTTTTTTTGAGACAGAGTCTCACTCTGTTGCCCGGGCTAGAGTGCTGTGGCATTAGCGTCACTCACAGCAACCTCCAACTCCTGGGCTCAAGCGATCCTCCTGCCTCAGCCTCCTGAGTAGCTGGGACTACAGGCATGCACCACC